GTGTGTCACTTATTTTTTTTTTGGCAAGCATATAACTTTACTACTTACTAAAGATGAAATCAAATTTGCATGCACAGGTGAGAACTCACTGAAACACCTTGGATTCATCACATATTTGAGTTTCAATTAGCATATATACATATATATTTATATAAAAAGAACAATAATGGCAATGTGTTATGCATCAATAGCAGCAACAGCTTTTCCAGGTTCTGCAGTCATTTGAACAAAATTGTAGAGACATCCAGCACACTCCATTTAAAAAAAAAAAACAAAAAAAACAAAACTAAACAAACAACAACAACAAAAAAGTACAAAACAAAATCCTAGAAAACAGCACAGTTCTGTTACTCTTGTGGTACTTGGCACCATTTTATTTTTCAATTAGCTTCTTAGTCATCATCTGGGAGGAAACCATTCTGAGCAACATCATTAAAAACAGCTCTGATAAAGCATGGCCACTACTATGTATCATAAAGCAGGTCCTCATATGAGGGAGTACATATCATGTTTGTCTTTTTGTGATTGGGTTGCCTTGCTCAGAATGGTTTCTTCGAATTCCATCCATTTTCCTGAAAATTTCAAGATTTCATTGTTTTTTTCTGCTGAGTAGTACTCCATTGTGTAAATGTACCATAATTTCTCTCCTTTTTAGTTGTATCTTTGTGAGGCTTGGGTATCAATGTGATTTTATCCTCATAAAAAGTGTTTGGCAATGTCCCTTCTGCTTCTTATTTATGGAACAATTTGAGGAGTACTGGTATTAGCTCTTATTTGAATTTCTGGTAGAATTCTGCAGTGAAGCCATCTGGCCCTGGGCTTTTTTTTTGGTTGGGAGGCTTTTGATGACTGCTTCTATTTCATTAGGTGTTATAGGTCAATTTAAACTGCTTATCTGTTCTTGGCTTAATTTTCAAAGTGATATCTATCCAGAAAATTGTCCATTTCCTTTAGATTTTTTAATTTTGTGGATTACAGGTTTTCAAAGTATAACCTGAAGATTGTCTGGATTTCCTCAGTGTCTGGTGTTATACCCTCCATTTTGTTTCTGATTCTGTTTATTAGTGTGCTATCTCTCTGCCTTTTGGTTAGTTTGGATAGAGTTTTGTCTATCTTGTTGATCTTCTCAAAGAATCGACTCTGTTTCATTGATTCTTAGTAATGTTTTCCTAGTTTCTATTTTATTGATTTCAGCCATCAGTTTGATTATTTCCTGGTGTGTACTCCTCCATGGTGAGCTTGCTTCTTTTTTGTTCTAATGATTTCAGTTTTTCTGTCAATTCTCTTCTGTGACTATTCTCCAATTTCTTCATGTAGGCACTTAGTGCTATGAACTTTTCTCTTATCACTGCTTTCATAGTGTCCTATAAGTTTGGGTATTTTGTGTCTGCATTCTTATTAAATTCTAAGAAGTCTTTAATTTATTTTTTGTTTTTTCCTAACTCAGGAATGGTGCAATTGGGTGTTATTCAATTTCCATGAGTTAGTCGGTTTTCTGCAATTTGTATTGCTGTTGAATTCTAACTGTAAAGCATGGTGATCTAATAAGATACAGGGGGTCATTTCAATTCTTCCGTATCTGTAGGTTTGCTTTGTTGCCAACTCTGTGGTCAATTTTAGAGAAGGTTCCATGTGGTGCTGAGAAGAAGGTTTATTCTTTTGTGTTTGGATGAAATGTTCTATTGATATTTGTTAAACCCTGTTGGGTCATAACTTCTGTTAGATCCTGTGTTTCTTTGTTAAGTTTCTGTCTGGTGGTTCTGTCTAGTGATGAAAGCAGGGTGTCGAAGTCTATAAGTGTTTGTGGTTTTATGTATGATTTGATCTTTTTTGATGTTTCTTTTTGAAATGTGGGTGCCTTCGTATTTGGGGCATAGATGTTCAGGACTGAGACTTCATCTTAATGGACTTTTCCTTTGATGAGTATGAAATGCCCTTCTTCCGTATTGATTGATTTTAGTTTGAAGTCTAATTTGTTAGATATTAGGATTGCTACACCAGCTTGTTTCTTGGTCCCATTTGATTGGAAAATTTTTTCTCAACCCTTTACTCTGAGGTAATTCTGTTAGCCTGTATCTTTTTATGGGCAGGTTATCACCATTGATATTGAGGGATATTAATGCCCATTGATTGTTGGTTCTTGTTTGTTTTGGATTCATTGTTGCCAATACAATGTTGGATTCATTGTTGTCACTGTATGTGGATTTCAACCTCTTGGGTCTTTTCATGTTTGGTAAATTTGGATTATCTATTGCCTATATTTTTGGGAGTGTAGCTATATTCGTTGGTTTGGAGTTTTCCTTCCAGAACTTTCTGTAGTGCTGGATTTATTGATATGTATTGTTTAAATCTGGTTTTGTTATGAAAGATCTTGTTGTCTCAATCTAGAGTGACTGAAAGTTTTGTTGTGTACAGTAGTCTGGGTTGGCATCCATGTTCCCTTAGTGTTTGTAGGATATCTATCTGGACCTTCTGGCTTGCAAATTTTCCATTGAGAAATCGGGTGTGATTCTGATATGTCTGCCTTTATATGTCACTTGGCCATTTTCCTTTGCCGCTCTTAATATTTTCTCTTTATTCTATAGGTTTGGTGATTTGATTATTATGTGTCCAGGGGACTTCTTTTTGTGGTGCAGTCTGTTTGGTGTTCTCTAAGCTTATTGTACTTTAATAGGCATATCTTTCGGTAGGTTGGGGAAATTTTCTTCTATGATTTTGTTGAATATGTTTTCTGTAGCCCTCAAAAGGGGCTCCCCAAAGTCTACCACATCATCCTGGGCCAGGCCTAGGCTCTTCCCCATGTGTCCAGGCCAAGAGAGCATCCTTCATATGGGATGGGCTCTCAAAATCCCTTCTTATTTTTTAAGACCTTACATATTTAATACAGTGTGTTATCCCTGTACAAATGGAAAAAAATTAAGTTCAAGATTTCTAGAACAATATGGCTATTAATTTTTGTACAATGACAACTGAATGCGGGAAACTGGGATACTTTTTTCCAAAGTTGGCAGCACAGCTAAAGTTTCCAAAAATTCAAATTATATATATCAATAATGGCAGTATTTTATGCATCAATAGCAGCAACAGATTTTCCAGGTTCTGCAGTCATTTGAACAAAATTGTAGAGATATCCAGCACTCTCCATTAAAAAAAAAGTAAAAAACAAAATCCCAGAAAAACAGCACAGTTCTGTTACTCTTGTAGTATCTGACACCATTTTTTTTTAATTAGCTTCTTATTCATATAACAAGGACATCTGTTCAACCATGTTCATAACTGTATTATACCTATTATTCTTAGGTTTGGTCTTTTCAGGCTGTCCTATATTTCCTGGATATTTTGTGTTAGGGATTTGTTAGATTTGAGATTATCTTTTGCCAATGACTCTGTATCCTCTAGAGAGTCTTCAACAACTGACATTCTCTCTTCCGTCTCTTGAATTCTATTGGTTATACTCACATCTTTAGTTCCTGATTATTTATCCAGCCTTTCTATTTCTAGCATCAGCTCATTCTGTGTTTTCTTTATTGTTTCTGTTTCAGCTTTCATGACTTGAACTGTTTTGAGTGCTTCCTTCACTTCTTTGGTTGTTTTTCTTGGCTTTCTTTAGATTCTTTAAGAGATTTGTTTATTTCTTGAATGTTTTGGTTTTTCTTTTCCTCCACTTCATGTAATCCTTTTGCTTTTTTTCCTTCTATTTTAATGTAGGAAAATACCAATACAGAGCCAGTAAAAATACAAAGGTATTTAATAGGGAAAAGCCTTGCTTACAGAGAAACCTAGCCAGCTGGCAGAGCTGCATTCTGTACATGAAGCCTGAAATGAAACTGAAACCAGAAACCTGCCACCTGAACATCCCTCACTCTATATCACCCTGAACAAGCCCTAAGCAGGCTTGGCTACAGCATTAGCTACAATTCCCCTTTTATTCTAAAAGAGGATTAAAACTTGACAGTGCAAAGTATCCAAAAGTAACAATCATAAATGTGAAATATGAGAAGATACAACAATCTGCTTGTGTCATCCTAACTATCTATTTTAACTAAACCGTAAAGTCACCTGAAAGAGGTGATCAAGCCTGAACACCTCCTTCCAATCCCAAGAGCTTCTGTGTATGTGTTTGTCTTATTGGATGATAAATAAGTACTGTTTGGCCAATGAGTCAGCATGTAAGGCAGGACTAGGAGTTGAGAAGGATTCTGGGAAATGTAGTAAGAACTGGTGATCCAGGCAGGAAGTGACATAGCATGGAGACTCATATTTAAGGAAGGAGAAGTAGGAAGTGGCCCCATTTCCCCTCCAAAGCTCTTCCTCCAGCAGCGAAATGTGATCCACCGGTAAGGGAGGACACCAATGGGAGGTGTCCGATAAGATTAGTCTTATAAAATATATAGATTAATGATAATTAAGGCTGAGCTAACAGATGAGAATCCTAGTCATTGGCCAAGCAGCATTTGTACATAATACAAGTCTCTCTGTGCATTAATTGGGGCCCTAAATCTGGCCAGTGACTGGAGTAAAGTGCACACATGATAGTGGGGCTCGGTGGCTTTTGGTGGAAAGATTTATTGTAACACTATTTATTTAAGGGATTTTCTTGTTTCCTCTTTAAAGGTCTCTATTATCTTCCTACGATAATTTTTGAGGTCCATCTCTTCTTTATCCTCTATTTTGGGCTTTTCAGATCTTGCTGGTGTGGAGTCCCTAGATTCTGTTGGTGTCATATTGTTCTTTCTTTTGTTGAGTGTGTTCTTATTCAGTCTTCTTCGCTTGACTTCTTCCAATGGATGCAGGTGGGATCTCTCTATCTCCTCTTGTCACCCAGTGGTGTGTGTGGGTCAAGACCTCTGGATGGTCTTGCTTCTCCTGCTAGTCGCCTCACTCAGTCGGGGTCAAGCCAGCGGAGGAGGGGAAAGGAAGAGTGAGTCGCATTTTGATTGTTTTTAATCAGATATTCATTGAATGTTTCCATCACACCTCCATGAGATACATGTTCTTTCCCTACTTAATTATTGTGGTGATTAAATCAGAAATGTTCCCCATTGGCTTCAGTACTTGAACACATCATTCTCAGTTAGTGGTACTTCTTTTGGGAGATTTAGGTGGTTCATTTGCTGGAGGAAATGAATGACTGTAAGTGGACTCTGAGATTAAATGCTTGGATCACATCCAGTTTACTCTCTCTGCCTGGCTTTTGTTGTAAGGTATGTGAGTTCTAAGCATCCTCTTCCTGCCACAATGCCTGTTTTTTGCCTTGTATCTTCTCTCAATGATGGATTTTAATCCCCCTGAAGCTGCAAGCCCAAATAATCTCTTTGTTTTAGAAGTTTCCTTGGTCACAGTATTTTGTATCAGGAACAGAAAAGTAACTAACACATTGAAATTTGATTTGTTGTTGGGTCTCGCTTTAGCCTCACAGAGTCATAGTACAAAGGCTTTTTGTTTGCTTTATGAACTTGGCCATGGAACTTCCTTTTAATGAACTGTATTCACTTGTTTATGCTGTATAATTTTTCTCCAACATTTGGGCCCAAAGAATCTGCATGACACTATCTGTCTTCCAATAAGAATGGTAAGTCACTGTGGGAAATCTAACCTCAACATCCACATAAGAGACAGGCCCATACAAATGCATATGAATTATGCATAGCTTGAATATACAACTGACTGACAAAACCTGAGATTGTATTATAAATGACTGTGCTATTGCATTAGTGATAAATTTCTAATGCAATGTTAATGAGGTAATAACTGACTAACTCAATGCAACCAATTGTAAACAATTCCATCAGCAACTAAAACATTTTCTTCACTGTACACTAAAAATATAAAAACTACTGTCCTAGTTATTTAGGGTTACCACTGCAAAGATGAAACACCATGACCTAAAGCTAGTTGGATAGTGTTTCTTTTTCTAATGCTTTCATATCTTAGTCCATCACTGCAGAAACTCAGGACAGTAATTTAAGCAGAGCAGGAACCCTGACACAAAAGCCATGCAGGGGTGCTGCTTACTAGCTTGCTCATCATGGTTTGCTCAGCCTGCTTTCTTACATAACTCATAACACCAGCCCAGGTACAGCATCACCTATGGTGTGCTAGGCTCTCCCGTATCAATCGCTAAAAAGAAAATAATCCACAGGCTTGTGTCTAACCAGATCTTATGGAGATATTTTCTCAATTGTGGTTTCCTCATTGCAGAGGACTTTAGCTGTGTCAAATGCACATAAAATTAGCCAGCATAATCACCAATAAAAATCTAGAATAATTCTGAGATATCAGTGATTTTGTGTGAATGTGAATGCATCTGTTTTAAGAACTGATAAAAATAAGTAGAGTGGAGTTGGCATTATAGCAGAGAGATTATTTCAAATTCAAATGCAAATTACAGTACAAATGATCCTGAAAATGAGCAAAATTAAATGCTTTTAAAACATTTGGTAGACTCCTGAATACTGCAAATTAAAGGAGGATGTACAATAATTTAAAAATCTAGACAATAGAAATACAGCAAATAAAATACAGATTGATTGAAAATGTTCTTCCTTAGCATACCAGCTATACAAACCTAAATACCTCTTGTTGTATTTATTCATATTTTAAAAGGTAATACACATAAAGAAACAAGGACTTGTTCTCCCAAACACATTTATCTCTAACCTTATTTCAGTAATTATATCACAAATTCAAATAGCTATTTTAGAAAATTTCTGCTGCTAATTAAACAACACTAAACAAATGTGCCCTAACTTTCAGACGTATTTGAAGAACCTCTTTTCTGTTCAGTTACAATAAATTTGGGTAATGGAAGTTTACTGAAGCCTAAGCTTATATCTTCATATAAGGCAACAGAAGTAGTTTGTTTCAACATATGAAAATGGTAATTTAAACGTACTTCTCAATTCTTACTGTTCATATTGTCCAGATAACTCTTGATTGACTGATGAGTGTACAAATGGGCCTTTATTCCTGGTGTTGATGGATGCCACTAGCAAAATTTAGAGGTTCCAATCCAGATCAAAGTATGGGGAAAATATCTTTTGAAGTACAACAGAAAGTGAAAATGATAATCTTAAGCATGTTTATTAAGTTACTAAAAATTTTAGTATTTCTCCAAATATGTCAATGTCTTTTCTTCCCTCCTACTAGAAACTGATCCCTCTGAAAATAGATTTCTGTCTACAGTCTTTTCTAATTAAAATAAGCTTTCTATATAATATTTCCAGTAAAAATAAATTCTGGAATTTTCTCAATTCCTAGACTTTTGCGCTGATTTGTAGAATATTAGTAACTGTGAAAGAACTGAAGACACTTGGAGTACACAAAGAAAAAAACAAAACAAACAAAAGAAACCACAATTGTGTTGCTGTTTACCCACCAGCTTCTATATCAGGAAGAGCATGCATATGATTTGCATAGAGACCCTTAGCTGTTACTGATATGTGAATTGGTGAACCTACTGTGGATGACTTTTGCTTACTCACTTCAATCCCTGACCTGTCTTAATTTAGTTCTTTTGTGCCTTGCTGTTGACTTCCCAGAATCTATAATTGTGGGGTTTTGTTTTTTCCACTGATGTCATCTGTATTCTGTCATTTTAGAGGAAGAATCCCCAAAGACTCTGAAACTGTTCTCTTGCGACACATACACAGCCACAAGGAAAGTTTTGCAGCCTTCATTCTGTGTAGCTGTTAGGACATGCAGTATCTTCTATGATTAAAGTAGAGTGATAGAACCAGAAGGTTGACTCATGTCAGCTCACCAAAAAACTTCCTGTGCTAGCAATGCAGTTTCATGCTAGAATATTTGCTCATTCTCAAAGGGTTCTGTCTTACCCACACTTTCCTTCCAGGGTCAAGGATGGAGAACCAATATAGAATTTTGGCCTCATTGTCTCTTAGTTTTTCCATAAACTTATTTGAAACAACACCCTCATTTGAAGACATAAAAGAGTGAAAAGAATACTGGAATAAAATAAAACTTTTCCATCATGCTCAAAGATGAAGAATAGTGAAAGTGAGGCATGAATATCATTTACACTTCCTATTATAGAAATTCCAAAATATATTATAAAGTCTATGTATCTCAGTGTCCTGTGTTCCATTAATAGGAATCAGTATTTTCAAAGATTATTTGAGATTTCATGAGCAAATAATGCCTCATAATGTACACAACTAAAGGCCTAGAATCTTAGACCTCAGACAATAATGAATTATCAGAGGTAATATGAGTATATGGGTTTATATCATAATAGCCACTTAGGCGCCTCTTAGTACTATGAACTACAAAATTTTAAGACTGTTTTGCATCAAAATGTTTACAAAGGTCTTTTCTTTCTCTCATGGTAGTTTTGCTTCATATTTCCCATCTTAAAAGGAAATAAATACTTAACAATGTAAGCAGAAGAGTCCAAGTCCTTTCTACATTGGGCCTATTGCACTTATGAAAAGACACAATTCTTATGAGTCTTTCATTTCTACCATAAGTAATGTAATGTTTGTACCTTAAGTGTATAAATAGTGATTTTTAAAGTAGGTTACCGTAAAAGAGATTATAGCTTCAAAATAGGTTACAGTAAAATAGTATATTAATGAAATTTATCCACAAGGAAACATCAATATAAACTAAATACTATGTGCCAAATATTCTCCTGTTGCTCTGAGATTTTGATAAATTCTATTTAATCATTTATCCAATAACTTATGGGAAGCTCAAGGTCACTGGGTAATTTCTGAAAATAAAAAAGTATTTTATTGTTTCTGTTGGAACAAAGTTGGTTTGAATTTGTTGCCCCTGTTGGATCCCAATATTCCAAGGTCTGTGTCACTGTCCTTTAGTCGTCACCATACCAGAGCTATAATGTCCTCAGCACTGATGTCACAGTCACCTGTAACTCCAGCTACAAAGGTTTACTACAACTCTATCCTCTATAGTTGTGCTAAGCAAGCAAATTAAAGGTAAAAAAGTTCAAAATTCAAAATCACACACACACACACACACACACACACACACACACACACACACACATCCCACACACATCATGTATGTATGTGAGTTTATTTCAAGTTCCTTTCTGTTTTCAGTGAAGTATTAATTTATTCTTGAATAGTGTATTATATTAATGTGAAGTAAAACAGAAGTGTCCACACACATCATGTATGTATGTGAGTTTATTTCAAGTTCCTTTCTGTTTTCAGTGAAGTATTAATTTATTCTTGAATAGTGTATTATATTAATGTGAAGTAAAACAGAAGTGTAGGATACCTGGGACTCATTCCATATTTTCATGCCACATGTCAAGTAGTACATACTTATTACATATGTGAGATACAATAATATCAAAACTTTAAGAAACTGAATTCAGGCTAATTTTAAAAGGAAGGTATGATTGAGCTACTCCTCCATCACCAAATTCTTTTTGATTTTGTGGGTTAAAGTTAAACACTCTACTGGAAGACAGACAAATAGCCTCCCACTGTGGCCAACCACATGGGGAGATGTCTCAGCAGCTAAAATCCCTTCCTTCAAAAGCCTTGCAATCTATGTTTGATTTCTACAATCTCCATATGAAAGAGAACTAACTCCACAGAGCTATCCTCTGCCTCTCACACAGGGTGGGGGGGCATGAGTATGCACCCACCACATGTATCATGCACATATCCCCCCATAATAAAGAAGATAAATAATAAAAGGAGATTTTGTTTAATGTATTTAATTAAGGTAAATATATCCAAGATGGTATGTCTTCAGTTCTTATTTATGTGTTTTGAAATAGCTTATATGTTTATTATTAAATTTCAGAAGTAATTATCACTTTGAGCATATAAAGATTTGAAGCATTTACAAATAAATATACTACTTTTATAACATTTACTTTTGTACTTACTACTTTAATGTACCAAACTTACTGTTGCTAGTTTATATGTTTTTTGACCAGCAAACATTGATTTCCCAAAGGAATGTCAGGTAAAATGACTATAATTTCTTTTTATTTCATTTTGGTTCATCAATTTGAAGCTCTTTTCTATTAAATACAGTGCCCATATGTTATGAATATGGTACTTGTTACGAGCATGATATAAGACTAACAGTTACAGAATATAAAAGACATGCCTTCCTTTTGGAAAAGAAACTTTTTTACTAAAGTATTAGTCAGTATTTGTAATAAATATGTTGCCAGAAAGAGCACAAGCTCTGCACGAACAAAGATTGTAGGAAAATGCTATTAATTTCATAATATCAATTTATTTTAAAATAGCTGAATAAACTCTTGAGAAATATTCACCTTATAATTGTGCTTTTGTCTATACTGTCTTCTCATATTCATGTGAGCTACTTCTGGACAATTAGCCTGTACTGTGTGTTAAGCCCTCTTGTCTCTCTTTGCTTGTTTTCAGAGAAACTGAAAATGCAAAGGAACTACAGTCACAACATCTCAAGATATGCTAAGTATTTCCAGAAAACCCCTGATTTTGTTATAGTGTTCTCTACCTTTCACTGACCTGCAACAGCATTAGAGAAGCTATTGTAATGCTCTTATGAAATAAACCCCAAATAGGCTGCTTTCTGGAGGCTCTTATCTTTGGTTCAGGTGGCATGTGTATAGCTGGAGCTACATCTGCTCTTGGCAGTTTTGGGGGCTTTGTTGGACCTCATCATGCTGAATGCTTGGATTCTTTTGTCCCTGGTTGCCCATATGCAAATAATGAACCTGCTCTGGGTAAATTTTTGTATGCATAGGTGTTTTGTCTCATTAGACTCAGACAAATTAATAAGCTGTATGCTGTGAACTTTCTTCAGTTTCTTGTTGAACTATGGGACAGCCAGTTGCTCAAAGGCACTGTAGAATTAATTAATTACTCATCTTCCTTTGTAGAAACTGGCTTAAAACTTGGAAGATGGAACTCACATGTTCACAAGTTGAGAAGTTTAGAAAGCAGAAACAACCTTTTAAAGAAAAAATACCTTCACGATTCTTCATGAAGGATAAACCTGAACTTCAGGTTCTACAGTAAAAGGAACACCATAAATGTTCATTGGTATTTCTGATGAAGCTCAAGCAGAAGGTGTGCCTTCCCCTGAAGTCATTTTCTAGATTGATGGTTGCCCTTTGATTCCTGTTGATTCGTCTTTTAGATATATTTTTTATAGTTGGGAAAAATATTTTGTCTATATTATGAAAACTAATAGGTTAATTTGAAATAAGAGGCTGCAAAACAAAACAAAACCAAAAAACTCTCTTGTTCAAGAAAGGAAGATAATAAATTTCTTCACACCTGTGGCATGTTTACCATAAATCTCCCAATTTCCAGTTGTCCTGGCTCTTACAAACTGTATCTTTTTACCTATTCAGAATCTCCATCTGTCTTGTATGATAGAGGTCTGTGATGGTTTCAATAAAAATGGTCCCCATATTCTCAGGCATTGAACACTTGATCACCAGTGAATGGTACTATTTGGGAGGTTGAGGTAGTATGGGCATACTGGAGAAAGTAACACTCAGGGTGGACTCTGGGTCTCTATATGTTTGTCACACTTCCTGTTTCATGTTTTCTCCTCTTCAAGATTTCAGTGTGAGCCCTTGGCTTCCTGACACCATGCCTACTACCTGCTTTTTCTGATCTGACATTATGAACTCTGTTTGGAAAGGTAAGTGAAAAGAAACTGTTTCTTCTATAAGTTATCTTGACCATGGTGGTTTTTCACAGCTACAGAAAAATAACGAATTCAACCACTCTTAAGAATATCTCATTGAAAACATGATTACTTCAACTCCTTCAACTCTTAAAGTTACATAACCCAAACTACACAAATAACTTCTAAATAACAAACCAATGACCTACTGGACAATAAGTTAGTTAAGGACTGTCTCTTAGAAAACCGTGATGGAGTCTATAGTACTGTAAACAAAACCTCCCATACATAGGTCTACCACTTAGAAATGATTGAAAATTGGTCCACAATTTGACTTCCCAATTATGTCTTCAAAGTGACATTCATCTTTCCTTTATCCTTTTCCTTTATCTCACTTCATCTATCCCTAAATTACTGTAAACTAGATATAACCTTATTGATTCTGAGGCCCCAGTCCTTAATAAAGGAGTATTTTGATAAAGAGGCACTAAGTCTCTATTAAAATGTTTTACATGAGACTCATCTGATGTGGATGTCCTTTTTACAAACAACCAACCTTAGATTTTGTGTAGACGTTCATTAACCTCTCAGCTTTAGACAAGTTTAGGTACTTTATTCAAGTCTTTTTCTATATTCAGATCTGTTCTTAAATGATGAGGTGCACTCATCAAGCCATTTTTTTGTCTCGGGATCAATAAGTTTCAATAAGATCAATAGGGTAGGAAAACAATAATGGGCCTGTATACCTTTCTGAAGTGGTACAAAAGATGCTGACTAAAACTTACAATCAGGTTACTCTTAGTCAACAGTCAACTTTCATTTCAAAAGCTCCTTTTCCTCTATTTTCCTCTTTTACTACAGTGCTGAAAGCCCCAGGAATTGTTAAATAAATTCATTAATCTTGAGGGAAAAACTTAAGAAAGGATAATTATGTTAAATGCATCTCCTAACCCTTTGGGAGAGTCAACAATTAGATCATTTCCAAAGTATCTTCAGATGAGCATATGAGCATGTTCCATGCCATTATATTCTAGAAGTAGGTGGTTTGATTTTGAGTTTATAAGCACTCACATGCAAGTGATTGTCTAAATTTAATAATGATAATTCATATATACTCAGAAGGCTCTGGCTGCAAGCTTGTCACATGTCTGAGATTCACTTCAGCATTATAGTCTATCCTAAGCATTATGAAATGGACATGAACCTTTCAGAGACAGGTAAAGGATGCTATGTCAAGGAAGTGATATACTTGTGTGAGAAGTAGGTAAGAAAGAGTGGTGTCAAGGACAATCCCCACTGTTGAATGGACTGTATTTGGTATCACCTTAGAAACAAACCTTTGGAAGGGCATATAAGGGTATTTCCAGAGTGTTTTAGTTGCAAAGGGAAGACCCTGAATACATGTGGGAGCATCCTATGTGCTGAGAACTAAGACTGAATAAAAGGGAACAAAGAGAGAGCTGAGTGCCAAGATTTCTATGTCTTGCTGGGCGTTGGTGGTGCATGCCTTTAATCCCAGCACTCGGGAGGCAGAGGCAAGTGGATCTCTGTGAGTTCGAGGCCAGCCTGGTCTCCAGAGTGAGTGCCAGGATAGGCTCCAAAGCTACACAGAGAAACCCTGTCTCAAAAAACCAAAAAAAAAGAGAAGATTTCTATGTCTCTCTCTCCTTCTTCTTCTCCCTTATACTTCATTTTCCTGTAACATGGCCTTCCTTGTTATGGCAGTATGAACTTCAAAATTAGTAGCAGAAATAAACACTTACATCCATATGTCACAACTGTTAAGCATTTTGTCATAGTTGAAGAGCAGAGTATGACCCCTGGAATCAACATGCTGAGAATAAACTTCCTCAAGTTGTCCTGTGAAATCCATACATATGCTACTGGGTCAACAGAGGGGGGATGAGGTGGAGGTCTGGGAGGTGGAGGAGGAGGAGAGAGAGAGGGAGAAGGAGAAGGGATTGGCATGGTAAGCAGGCTTCTTTCTAAATTGAACTAATAAAAATAATTTCATGGAAAAACATTATGGCAGCTGTTGCTGCCTACACAAAATCAAGCAGTTAGCATTCCCATATGAAAGGCAGAGGAGCTCATGACCTGTACCCACCTATGATGACATATTGGCAGTTTATGGCTTCTGAAAGGTTATTTAGTTATCCTTAAGGGTGTGGCCTCTAGTATGTAGACCTTGTTGCAGTAAATGGCCCCATACCAAGACTACATGGGCATCAAAATGAATCATAGTGCTTTATTATGAACAAAGGGGGAAAAGAGGAAAGAAGGAAGGAGGGAAGAGACAGAGAGGTAAAAGAAAGAGAAAAGAGAGTTAAAATAAAATTGATAAATGAGATGGAGGAATGAGGGTTCAATCTGGCAGTAATTAGGTATTAATGGGCAAATATGATCAAAATTGATAGCATGCACAAAATAAATTACAAAATTATTATCAATCAATATTAATATGATTAATATTATATTTTAAATATAAAAGATGACATTAGAAATCTTGATTTTTTTCAGAGTATAACTTAATGTACCAAGAAATCACATCTTTCAGTTCAAACAGTAAGTCATTTTCCTTTTCCTTCATAGTGGATTATGTTTGAGAAAACCATCAGTGGATTCATTTGGTTATTATGTCTGAATTTGAGATTAATACTAGATAGAGGTTATATAATTAATTGAAAAATAAAGCATTTTTATAGGAATAGTTAATTTTTAAGAGCAGTGGAAAATTACATGCTGAGAAATCTCACTGGCATAGATTATGTGACATAGTCCTGGATGAGCCAACACTTTCTGGCTGGAACTATCAGCTGTAACAGTCAATGAATTTTTGAGAAGGCACATAAGGAGTATTTCAAATTGTGGGTTTTGCCATAAGAAACTGCTAATGGTTGTGATTGACACTCTTTTTGCTCAAGACAGCTAGAGCAGCAAAGGAGACAACTGCCAACTGCCAACTGCCAACTGCTTGTTGATGGGAACTGGGCATCATGAACTCAGAAGACTAACCATTAATACTGATGGTTATCTTATCTTATTTCTCCATTGCTGTAACAGTGCAGAGCATATGTCTGGTGCTCTAGAACAAGGTGGGCCCAGATTCTCTAACTCACAGTGCACATGAGACTGGAGGTGCCAGTTTGAGATACTTTTTTGATTTGAAGGCCATGTATATTCAAGTGCAGAATTACTGCATCATATGTTACTTTTGTGTGTGTGTGTGTGTGTGTGTGTGAGAGAGAGAGAGAGAGAGAGAGAGAGAGAGAGAGAGAGAGAGAGGGGGGGATAGGTATATATAGAGAGACAGAGAGATAGAGAGACAGAGACAGAAACAGGGACAAAGAGAAAGATAGGTTGGTTTGGTGTGGGGTATGGACACAAGACAATTGCTGCAGCAATAAACCATATCCTGAGCCTAGTATTTGTTTGTATTAATGGACCTACAGTGTCTGTACTATACTGGAGACCAAACCGAGAACCTAATGCATACTATGTATATTCTACCACTTGGTTTCTACGGCAAGCCTTTATGTTTAAGTTTTAATGAGAAGGAAGTACAATTTCTTTTCTTTGGTTCTCCCTTCAATTTCCCATAGCACATTTATTACTTTCCATTCCAAATATCATAGTGTTTATGGCCATTCTTCTGGCATCCTTTGCATATGTAAATTTTATATTAAATTATGAAAATAACCTTCAAGCTTTGATGAAAAAATACTAGAACATAAATGCTATTCTAACAAATATATAATGTAATGGTGTTACAGGACATTGAAGTGGACAAATAAAAAAATCTACTCTTTTCCTGTATCTTCCTAATTGCTGGTTAAAAGCTGGCCAATAGTTTAACACTGTCAATAGGGCTCTTATAATTTGTATTTTTTATAGTAGTTGTTCTCTCATTAGTGATATGTCCAGAGTATCCTCTTGTAACTAAATGAATATAAAATTTGTGTTAGTGAAATTTATTCTGGAGATCTATCACACAACTGATGGGGATGCACTGTGTATGTTTATCTTACTGATTGTTGAATAAAATACTGTTTGGCCAATGGCAGCAAGTTAGGCAGGACTAGGAGTCAAAGAGGATTCTGGGAAATGTAATAGAGAAGTGGTGTTCCAGGCAGGAAGTGACATATCAAGGAGAAACAGGAAATGTCCTGCTTTCCCCTTCGCCTCCTCCAGTGGCAGGATGTGAGCCACCAAGAAGGAGGGATGCCAGTAAGGCATCCAATAAGATAAGCCTTATAAAATATATAGATTTATGATAATTAAGCCTGAGCTAACAGATGAGAATCCTAGCCATTGGCCAACCAGCTTTGAACCTAATATAAGTCTCTCTCTGTATTAATTTGGGCCCTAATTCGGGTGGGTGGCTGGCGTAAAGCCCACACGTGGTGGTGAGGCTCGGCAGCTTTTGGTAGAAAGATTTATCGTAATACACAGCATTTTGTATATATTTAACAATTCAGATTATAATCTTGAAAATGTCAGAATGCATTGTATCCCAGATCAAACATCCACATCCCAGAGTAGAACAAAATGAAACATAAACCAAAAACAAATGAGTAAAAGAAAACTCATAGGCTTGCGTGGAAAACTTTATAGGTCATGACTACATGTATTATCAGTGATGTTTAGTTGCTTCAAAGTATATTAGTTTTTCCCACAAATTAGTGTATATATATATGTATATATAT